TTGGGGTATCTGTGGCTCCTGGTATATTCCAATGCCTTATGGAACGATTGCTGCAAGGTATTCCTGGCATTATACCATACTTTGATGATGTCATCATTTCGACACAAAACAAGCAAGACCTCCTGCAACACCTTAGACAAGTCCTCACTTGCTTCCAGAATTCGGGACTCAAATTAAAAAGAGATAAATGCAAATTTGGTGTTTCTCAAGTGGACTTCCTAGGATAATGCATTGATGCCCAAGGGATTCACCCTACAGAGTTACAGCCATAAAAAAGCACCTGTTCCTACCAACAAAAAGGAGCTGCAGGCCTTTTTGGGTCTCCTAAATTTCTACGCCTCATTTCTTCCGCACAAGGTTTCTATTGCAGAACCACTTCACAGATTATTAGACTCTCAAGCTAAATGGTCATGGGGCAAATCACAACAGGATTCTTTTGACGCTATCAAAGCGATGCTTTCTTCTGACAGGGTATTGATGCAATTTAATAACCAATTGCCTTTGATCCTATGTTGCAATGCATCTCCTTATGGTATAGGTTCTGTCTTAGCTCACATATTGCCTAGCGGAGTGGAAGCCCCTATAGCTTATTTTTCAAGGACTATGTCAGCAACAGAAAGAAATTACTCACAAATTGATAAGGAAGCTTTGGCAGCCGTTGCCTCTGTTAAACGATTTCACGAATTCCTTTATGGCCATCACTTCCATTTAATAACGGACTACAAACCTCTCCTGGGTATCCTGGCTGGCGACCGACAAAATCCCCCTATTTTGTCCCCTAGGATGACCCACTGGGCATTATTCTTGGCTGCATACTCCTATACCTTGCAATACAGGGCCAGAAAGCACCTTGGACATGCGGACGCATTGAGCCGTTGCCCCTTGCCAGACAAAATTATAGACCCTGCCCCTTCCTCATCTATACTATTAATTGACGATCATCAATTACCTATTGCGGCCGCAGATGTCGCGAAAGCCTCCTCTAATGATATTATTCTCTTACAGGTATTAGACTGGGTAATAACGGGGTGGCCAGGGTGGGCTGTAGATGACCCATTTATACCATTCAGAGCAAAGCAGCATGAATTATCCACCCAACAGGGCTGCCTACTGTGGGGAGGTAGAGTAGTAGTTCCCAATATCCTCAGACCTAAGATTTTAAACAGCTTGCATGAGGGCCATCCAGGAATAGCCTGTATGAAGGCTTTAGCTTGGAGCTATGTTTGGTGGCCTGGCATAGACTCTGAGTTAGGGCATGTCATACATGCCAAACAAGAGTTAGGGCATGTCATACATGCCAAACATCTAGAGCGGCACCTCCAGCCGCTACTTCTGGGGAATGGGAGTCTGCTAAATCACCATGGGTCAGGGTCCATATTGACCTGGCTGGGCCATTTCAGGGTCGCACCTTCCTTATCATTGTGGACTCATATTCGAAGTGGGTAGGTCCCCATGAAGTCTACCACATCAGAGATGATGATCAAGGCGTTAGTTCGCCTTTTTGCAATCCATGGGTTTCCTGACATCCTAGTGTTGGATAACAGTCCACAGTTTACTGCAGTGAACTTTGAGTTATTCTTGGCATAAGGCACGCCCTTGTCGCTCCTTACCACCCGGTGTCTAATGGTCAAGCAGAGAGGGCTCTGAGGGCCGCCAAGGAAGTGCTGGGACGATTAAAGGGTGAAGACTGGCATTCTAAGTTGGCAAAGTACCTGCTAATGCAACACGTTACCCCCAGCACAGTGACCAATCGTTCCCCAATGGAGTTATTAATGGGCCGAAAGTTAAGGAACCATATGGACAGACTCCACCACAGTTATGCCCCAAATGTTCCCTTAAATTCTTTTAGTGGCATTAGAGTTTTCCAAGTGGGGGATTTGGTTTATGCACAGAATTTTGTAGGTAATCCATTGTGGCTGCCAGGGAAAATAGAGGCAGTTACCGGCCCAAAATCTTATAAAATAACTCTGTTGGATGGCCGAGTTTGGCACCAACATGTAGACCGTGTAAGAGAGCGTTGGGCTGAGTTCTCAGGGGACTCATCTGACAGTGGGCCGGACAACACACAGCAACGCGAACTCAAAGTGGCCAACATACCAGGGAGAGAAGACCTACCTTTAGAAGTTCCTCCATCTGAGTCCAAGTGAGCCGAGGAGAGGGGTCCAGCGGTGTCTCCATCATCGTCTGTTGACCCTGCAGGCGATCATTCTCAGATGACCAGGCAAGCCGAGTTGTGTAGGTCCAGCCGGAATAGACAACGCCCCGCCTATCTGAATGACTATGAATGCGCTTGACTGGTGGGAAGGGGTGTTACGTTCAGCTGAGCTGAGCAGGAACTGAAGTCCATTCTCATTGGCTGAGCAGTCTGACAGCAAGCCATATAAAAGTGAGCTGCCAGACCGTGTCGGTTATTGCTCGTGCCTATCAGCCGACTCGCAAAAGTAACGGCTATTGCGGTTACTGCAGTTACAGTTACTCTTACAGTTAAATGTTACAATTAATAGTTACTAGTTAATAAAGGTTGACTTAGCATAATCGTGGACGTCGTTTCTGCCTCACAAAAACTAAGCCTATGAAGATTCTGCTGTTACTGAATGTGGGGAGACGAAGTTTCTGGAAATATTTATAGGAATGCCTAATAGGACCAAGATTCCTTCTCTTTTCAGTTTGCAAAAAATGCTTTTTTAATCATTCAGACATCACTCCTTCTCTCAGAAGCTATAGTTAATAGACCTGACTGTCGCCAAAGGTATTTTGAGGTTTCTTGTCAAAAACAAATCATGAATTCTCTGCCTTCACGACTTTGCCATTTATGCTTAGGCCAGAGCCACTGAAACAGTAGAAGCCTCTGTATGGTGATGGTACGTATAAAAAAGTCAAAATGGCAGTTGACACTATACAATTAAAACCTTACAATGTATGTCTCTGCACTGAAATCAGTAGGATTTGAATGTGCCTGATTTAAATTTAATTGCCTTTAATGACCTTACCCTGGAGACAGAATCTGCATCTATTTTATCCAAGTCTATACTAACTAAATTTAAATACAATGGCCTCTTTTTAAAATCCTACTTCCAAATCTATGATGTTGGCAAGATAAAGAATTTTGACTTATTAGTCATTGATTTTAGAATATAGAAACATTATTTTATCCAATTATTTGTAAATGTCAACAACAGGAAAAGCAATAATTGCAATAACAGTGTTTATTTATAGCCTGCCTTTAAAAAAAAGTGCATAACAACCAATTAAACACAATTTTAAAAGCAGAATGAAAGTTTGGATATTGCTAATTAAGCTAATTTGTTGTTATAGAAATGGCTAGTATTTGCTAAGTTAGTAAACATTTCAGATTGTAATTTTATTTTGTACTTTACTGCGCTGAAAAAAGTTGGACGTTGATACTTTTTTCTTTCCCCTTGTACCTATTCCTCTTCCCCCTTCTTTCTCCCCTTCTCTATTTTTCTAATTAAAATTAAAATGTTTTCCTAAAAATAAATAAAATAATAATAATAATAAAAGCAGAATGTCAAAATCTTTACACAAAAGAATTACAAATTAAAACCACATATTAAAAATTAATTTACAGTCACCAGAACACCAAGACCAATTTAAAAAGTGCCATCATGTCCTTTACTAAAATTGCCAAAGGAGAAATTCAATTAGATAAAAATCCATAAAACGTCAATATAAAATGTGATCCTTGCTAAGGATCATATTTTACAGCATCACTCAGCCATTGTCCATTTTTTTTCATTATACCTGGCCTGGTGTATTTTTAAACCTTTCTTAAATATATTAAACATTGTTAGGTTACTCATTCCACATTTTGATGACAATGTCCCAAAAAGTGTTAAAACTGAAGAGATTAAGGGAATAGATGACATAGCCCAATATAACGGTGAGGTTGCCTAACTTGCCCAAGGAAGATGGAACTGAGAAAGAGGGTATAAGAAAAAAACCAAAATGGAGTCTTGCACTGCATGGTTCTAAAAGACCAAAAACAGATGTTTGTGCAGATGGTCCTTGACTTACAGCCACAATTGAGTGCAGAATTTCTGTTGCTAAGTGAGATATTTGTTAAGTGAATTTTGCTCCATTTGATGTACTTTCTTGCCACATTTGTTTAGTGAATCACTTCAGTTGTTAATTTAGTAACAGGATTGTTAAGGTGAATCTGTCTACCCCATTCACTTTGCTTGTCAGAAAATCACAAAGGTGACCCCAGGATACTTCAGCTGTCATAAATATGAGTCAGTTGCTGAGCCTCTGAATTTTAATCACATGACCGTGGGAATGCTACAACAGTCATAAGTGTGAAAAATGGGCATTAGTCCATTTTTACTGCTGTTGTAACTTTGAATGGCCATTAAAGGACTGTTGTAAGTTGAGGACCACCTGTATTGGATCCTTACTCTTAGATGAAGCCACTGAAAGAAACTGTAGTGCTTAAAAGTATGGGAAACCTGAAGAATGTCTAAAAGAATGAACCAGATCCAAATCACGGAGGACAGAGCCAAAGGCTTGCTATGAACTTCCATCAACTTTCAAATATAAATAAACAACAATGGATTTTCTGAGTTTGCTTCAGCTCAGGTTCAGTAGTATTCCCAAGATAATTTGAAATATATATTGTAAATAATATGGACAGAGCTGACCTTTCAGGGGCTGCTGTAAGAAAAGTCAGTAAAATAAGCACTGGTCTAAAAATACTGGTTTCCTCTCTTAACAATTCTGTGTGCCCTCCCAACATTTCCCCAGTTCATTATCATCACTTTTGTACTCATTAAGTTAGTAGATTTTCAAAATCTCAAGAAGGAAAATAGTTATAATTCGAGTAAGTAGCACTGTTTTTGGGGCACCTTTTACAATAAATCTCCAGATATCAGCAGGATATTCTCTTGGTGAGCAAAAGGGGAGGGATCAGCATTGTCACTGGAGCCAAATCAAGTATAAAATAGTTCCCAGCCAGACTGTTCGAAACTTCTCTGCTGAAACAGTGTCTGCTATAAGAAGGAAGTGGTGAATCCAGCACAGCTAAGTAGCGACATGTCTGAGTTTCAGCAGCTGATGCAGGACTCCATACCATCTGCAAGAGATGTTCTACAAGAGAACTACAGCAACCTCCTCAAAGTGGCAGATTATTGTGACAGCAACTATGAGCAGGTGAGTTACAGTGGGACAGAAGTCAAAGGCAGACTAGCTTGAAAGAGAAACTGGACTACCCTGGCTGGGGCAATGCAGTATCTGGGCTAGGCTCCCAGGCAGCTGAAGATACTTGCAGAGGGAAATGAGCAAGACAGCACCTGTATATTAACTATAGCATTGCAAAACATGCTGAAGAACATCTTGAATCTATATGGGAAGTGGTCAATGTGGAGTTGAGATTTTCAGTGCTCTCTACCGCTAATATAAATGGGGGAGCCTGGTGGCAATGAATGAGGAACTGAAAACACCTAAAGCAAGGGTGGGAAAATTGTAGTTTTTACTGCCTTCTTTCTGCAGCTGATATAGTTTCCAAAAATGTGACTCAAAGTTGCACTGCCAAGTTTGGTGACAAATCACAAATTTCAGCAATGCAACATTTTGATTTTTTTTTAAAATAAAAAATAAAGATTGAAATGGGCATATTTGTGTGTCTGTTTTGCTTTTTCCTACCCCATCTCAAAGCTAGATAAAAAAATTTTGGCATTGCCTCTTTTGATAATATCACTGTATTATTGACATATCTCTCACAATTAAAAGATTTTGATCCCTGGATATTTGCCCCAAGCTAATGGATGCCAAACTGGAGAAATATGTTATAGATAATATTGAAATAGTTTTCTCAAGACCTGATAGAAAGGAATTTCCATGGTCTAGAAATCCATAATGTATTGCTGAGCATAAACGGTCTTTTGACATTTTCTACCTGTTTGTAGCCAATGAAATTGTATATGAGAGAGGAAGGGAAGAGAATTCTTTCTCTTGGCAGTAATAGTAATATTGATACTGCAAGTTTCCATGGGAGCAGTTGTCTCTTAATGTCTTCCTTTCAGATTTAATTGAAATGTGGGAAGTCAGGAGGCCTGCAAACTGATGGACACGATGATGCAAAGAAATACATGCCCTGGCCCTGACATGTAACTAATGGCTGAAATGTCCATCACCATATTGATTGCCAGGGTTGATCTGGCTGATCTGGATGGGTATCTCTTTCCTTTATCACTGGAAGCTTTCAAGAAGAGATTGGACTGCCATCTGTCAGAAATGGTGTAAGGTCTTGGGCGTTGGACTAGATGACCTACAAGGTCCCTTCCAACTCTGTTAATCTAATCCTTCCTCACCATTCCCTCTGTGTGTCTCCTAAAGCTGCACACTCAGTGGAAGAGGGCAACCATTCCAGATAGGAGTGTACCAATCTTCGGTCTACTAAATATATAGTGCAATACTATATTTGCTGGAATATAGGTGAGACACCATATTGTATTCTATTGTATCTACAGTTAGTCACAATGCTGTCAAAATATTGCATTGTGTGTCGTGATGTCATGACACAAGCCTTTCATATCCCATTGCAATGTCACAGATAAGTATGAAAGATAAGGAGCCAGCATCATTTCATCACTCTGCCTCATTACTTGACCCTTCTGTGGAGACTGGGTATGTTGTGGGACCAGGTGATCATGCAAATCCCTAATAATCCTTATTTGTAATAATACAAATAACATAGAAAACATGTACAGTATGTCATATGAACCTAGGAATTATATTTTATTAAGTTAGGTTAGAATTTAGAGTTCGTGTTTGGGTGAGCCAGCTACTCTATAGCAGTGGTTGGAAATAACTGCTCTCTCCAGATTAAGAGGGCTATCACGCAGAATAGGACAAACACTTGTTTTATTTTTCCAGGCAGTATGACAATTTAATATATTTGATAGACCAGAGAATACATGTTGATTGAAGACTGGGAGTCATTAAATAATGAATGGTATTACACCAATGAGAACACTTTATAATGATGATTATGGTTTAAAGTCCCAGGTTTGTGACTTCCAAACAGAGTGCAACTGTCATACTTTCTATCCAACATAATTGATTGGACCTGCAGCCTGGGACTATAAGAAACTTACTCCAGCCCATCTAAGATCACTGGGCTGGGATATTTTGGAGACATAACTTTATGTTTTTCATGGCTTAATATCACATTTAAACTGGACCATCCAGCTAAAATTCTGCCCTCCCATCCTGAATACCTGTCATACCTGTTATATGCTTCTATTATTCTGCTATCTTGCATAATTGTCTCTCATCCCCTTCACGTCTTTTCTAACCTATAGGCTCAAGATAAACGAAAAGCCCTAGAGGAAACCATGGCCTTCACTGTTCAGTCATTAGCCAGCGTAACCTATCAAATCAATAACCTAGCCAGAAACATCCTCAAAATATTTGACTTACAGACCAACCATCTCCAGCAAGTGGAAGCCAACGTTTGTTCCATTGAACAGGTGAGCAAGAATACTGCTTCAGCAGACACTATGAAGATACCATGTGGAAGATTAACTTGGGGTTGGATTTTTTTTTTTTTTGAAATTCTGAACACTTTTCCTGTTGGTAGCTTCTATGGTTGGCATGAGAAGTTTTGTATGCATGCATTGATTCCTCCTGCAACCCTTCCTATATTGTTAGCTTTGTGACATCCAAGCTTGCAACATCCAAGCTAAATCTCTAATCTCTCTTTTGTAAGTATCTTGGCTTTGTTGGGAAATACCACAGCTGGAGGCTTCAACAAACTGTTCTGTATTTTAGTTCAGTATCTTCTGAGTTCAATGTGGTATCTTCAATCTGGTATTTTCAGAGTTCTCATTTTTCCCACCCACATATCTGCCTAATACGCTTGCAAGAGAGTAAGCAAAAGTTATCTTAGCAAAAGAAAGAGCTGAAATCCTTACATAATTACACATGAATATTGTAAATATACTGTATATAGCAGCCTGCATGTCCAATGGGTCCTCAAGTCACATGTAATGTAGATGACAGGCAATTGTAAGATTAATACCAGTAGGTTCTGGGACAAGTTAATTTGTGACTGGCCTTGCGATATTTGTTTGCATGCCATTTAATTGTATGGTTATTTCCCCAATATAAGTGGTTTGTTGTTTCCTATTGTTGGATTGCTTTCAGTTGGATTTATGTTTTATTTAATTTATTTATGTATTCTATTCTCTATACTAAACTTGCTTTGGCCTAAGAAGACCAATAAAGCCATTAAATGAATCGATTAAATTAAATACAAATCTTCCCTTACATAGTGCCCCTCCAAATGTCTCACATTACAATCCCATCATTCACAACTTGGTGACCAGGGGATTACAAGAGGTATGACCACCACACCTGGAGAGATGGGAAGTTGGTGAATATATGGAGAACAGAAGGTGTATTGTTCACTTCTTTCAGGGAATTTCCTTGCCCTCTGAGTCACTGCTAAAGCAGACGCATCCCTGGATTTTTTAAACCAAAGGATTCCTTTCTCTCCTTCTCCCTCCTCTTCTTACTGAAAGTGTGTGAAGATGTATGCCTGTTCCCAGCAGATATCAGATCCCTCTTCCTGTTACTGGACTGAGACTAGGGACCTGCTTGATAGTTTTCCTGTTTCCTAAGAGTAAGAACAAAAACAAAATAAAATAGAACACATGTGATCAGGAAGCGTTAAGTGGAATGGATTAATCATCTGTACTATTTCACTTGCTTTATACTGCCAAAACATTTATACTTTTATATAACCAAGGCAGGTGTATGCAGTGTGTGAGTGTCTGTGTGTATCTGTGTGTGTGTTGGTAGAATGATCAAAGTGCAGTTTGTTGAAGCTGGATCCCAAAATATGCTGTGTAAAAATTGTGCATAAATCAGATATGATTTTCTTTTGCCTCTTGGACACCCCCACCCCCTATTTTAGAATAAAGTTATGTTTGTGAACCATTAGGACACTGGCTTTTGGCTCTTCTAGGCTTACATTGTTTCTCCCAGATTACCATGCTTGTAATCTGAGGATTGTGCATTTAGGGGATGATTTGACAGCCGCAAATATTTTCTTTCAGTTCAGCAGATAGAAAATAAGTTAAATGTTTAAAAAAATCAAGGTTGAAGTTCAATCTGGCCTGGGATCCTTTCCTTGCTTTCCAACTTGAAGGTTCACTTCCCAATTCAGATGGGGTTTCAAGCAGAACTAGAAACAATGCTATCATTTGTGCTGGCCAAATAATGTGGTGTGTAATGATAGAACAATTTAGGCGTTTCCCCCACCCCACCCCCGAGAGATGGGAAGCTGGTGGTGGGAGAGGAACTATGGACGAGTCATATCTGGTTCAAATCAGTTTAAACAGTAGAAAAGAGAAATTTCTTTCTACCAAATGAAACCTGATCCATCCCTCACAGTAGTGTTTGCATTGGCTATCAACAAGTAGCTGAGTTCCCATTTTGCACTGAACTACATTTTGCATAACACCTCAAGCCATAAGCCTTTAGTTACACATGACAAGGGTGAGGCTCACACAATATGCTTAATTAAACAAATGGTATAGTGGTTATTGCAAAGTGAGAATATGCTCAAGACCCTATCTAGAGAACTCCTATCTCTGCCTTCCTCATATTTAAATCAGCCCCTGGGATGTTCTCACTGCTTCCCAATTTCCTTGGTTTGCAGTTTGGTTTGCAATTTGCAATCTCATTATTATTTAGCTCTCAAATAATGAAATAATGGCCAGGTTTCAGTCCTCGGTGCTATAATCCTGTTTTGTTATTAATAGAATTTTCCCATTTAATTTTTTTTACAGCAATAGCTCACATTCATGAGCTCAAACTGATAATGAATGTACATTCTTACTTAGGAACTTAAGGAATGTTTTGCAGGATGAAAATCAGGTCAATATTCCTTCTGGTACAACCTATTTTATAAGCTGAACAACTATATGTTCCATCATTGAGATAGCCAACCTCTGCCTCGCCTAAGTATTGAGTGGCAATCTCAGTAACCCTCAGTTGCTGAATTGGAATATGTACTACTATGACAGGAAAGGGGGGGGGGGTAATTAAATTCAGGGTAGTAATCGTATGAACTAATTGTATCAATGTTAATGTAAATTAAACCAAATATAATCTTTGTGCTGGCTCTGCATGCTTTATTTGTTTGACTTGCTTCCAAAACTAAGTACAGTTTTGCTCTGAAAATGATTGAGCATTCATCAGATTATTAATGGATTTCTCTCTCTATCCCTTTGAGTAATTTCCAACATGGCCCTGCAGTTTTCTTGACAATATTTCAGAAGTGGTTTTTTCCAAGGGCTGAGAAACAGTGACTCTCAAGATTACCCAGCTTGTGTCCAAATTGGGACTAAAACTCCTATTACACCAAACTGGCTCTCATTATTGCTTATAATTTGTGATATTATTATGCTAATAATTTCTACATGCTCCACTGAGTTTTAAACAAAAAAAATGGATCCTCCATCCTGCAGTCAAATCATCTAAAAAGAGATGCTTTCCAGAGTTCCCAGACAGACTGGGTCTTCTGAGAGTTATAGCTTTTATTACAACTGGAATTGATCAGGATGGAAATGCTGAACTAACAGTAGAAAATTAATACTGAAAGGGAAGGAAACGATCACATGCAAGAATCCATTCTCTGGCTGCTGCTCTTGAGGTAATTTTGCTTTGCTCATGGAATTTCACAGTAAATCAAACAAGGTCATCCTCCAGTTGTAACCTTTCAACCACAGGCTCTGCTCTTTTTTCCTCCCATAAAAATATTACTTGAGAATTATTTGGAATAGCTGACATGTTGGTGTTTACTCTCTACACCAAAGCTGTGAACATGAGGCATCTGTGGAGTGCTATAGACTGTGCTGATGTGCACAGATATCATTTGAAATTCAGGCGAAGATGCTGAATTTTATTTTGTTGTAGAATGTTTGCAAATCTTTGGGTTTTCCATATTGCATACTTCTCTATCTAAACTTGCTCACTATTTGTTCACTATTTATGACAGGGGTATCAAACTCATGGCCTGCGGGCCGGATGCATCATGTGCTGGCCACACCCACCCTCATTTTAGCGAAGGGGGAAAAGTCACGATACGTCGCATGACGACAATGTGATGCCCTGATTTATGAGAAGAAAAAGTCCTGGAAAAGCAGCACCAGTATAGCAGTGAATTCCATCTGATCTAATGATGTGAACCTCATTTTTCCTGTTACATCTCGGCCAGCTCTGTTGATTGATTAGTGCTGCATGTTAACTCTCTTGGGAAATATGCTGCTGATGGTTCCTGTTCCAGCTTCCCATTAAGTCCTGCCAGACAAGTGTCTATTTTCTCATGATATCTTTCTATTGCAGGTGATAGAAATGCATAAGGAGAAAGTGTCCCGTCGGGAAATTGGGATGCTTACTGTTTGCAAGACATTTCCTCTGTATCAGAAAATCATGTACCCAAAGAAACTTGAGCCTTTGCAGCCCTATTACAGGAAACCACTGGACTTCAACACTCTGGATGACATTGGCCATGGGATCAAGGTAAGACAGGGACACTCTCCAATTAAAAAATGAGATGCTTTAGTCCTCCCCTCCCCTCCCCTCAAGATTCCCAGATTTGGGGTGTCCCTATTGATCCTAATAAGTGCACCAGATTTTGGGAGTAGTAGTCCAACAATTTTAAAAGTTGTGCTCATACCCTGGGCTTCTGAGCCATGAAAAATCATAACTGATAGAAAACAGCTATTGCGTCTGTAAAGGATTAACATCAAAGACACCTGCAGATTTCTACTGAGGAAGGCACTATTTCCACAGGTGTCCATTATTTGTCTCTTATTTTCTACTATGATAATATTTTAATGTGAATTCTTTTCATTGGGCTTTTTAGTTCCCCATGCTGACTGGGGAATTCTGGGAGTTGAAGTCTACATACCTTAAAGTTTCCAAATTTGAAAAAACACGCTCTTAGATGGATGGTGAACCCAACCAGTTTTTCCTTGTAATCTTTCTTTCTAATTTGGGTACCTCTTTGGGAGGATTCCTATCCTGACACATTTTTCTAAGTTCTTTCTACATATTCACTTGAGGGACACTCTGTCCCTAAGACTTTTACTTCTTATACTTATGGTATCAGTGCTAAGCTCAATTTGCTTTGCAGAACTTTATGTATTGTATTATAGCAAAATATTGGTTTCTGTTGTTTATTTTTTAAATCCCTTAAATGGGAAGAAGAAGAATAGTCCTATACCATGAAAAAACAAACTGCTTCTCCTATTCCCCAAACTGCAAGAAAAGATCTGCTTTCTCCAATATAGTGTGATTTCTTCTCAGAGGGAATGGTGGAGGGAACATATATGTGACCATCAACAAATATTTGGCTTTCAGAATATTAAAGAAATTTGGGAGTTGTCCACAGAAGAGGACTTTGAAAATGTATGCCTGATTTAGCATCAGATCTGCTAACCATCAGCAGAAATAGGGCATGTAACTAGGTCTTTTATTCATAAATGTGGGTGTGCTGACCTATGTGGTGCAGCTTTGCTCTTGGAAAGGAGAAGGTTCTTTCCCCACCCAAGTATTTGATGACTTACATAGACATAGAAATTCAACAAGAGACAATGTGTCTCCAAGCACTTCCTCTGTGGAAAAACGTATGTGCTACTAAGCCATTACTCTCTTCCTCCTTCAACACAAAAGAAAAAAAAAACTTAGGCATAATAAGAACAAGCATAAAAATTTAAAACAGGCATAGGCAACTTATTGAGACATTCAGTACAAGAAGAGTTTGAATCCATGTCATGGATGCTGACAAAAAATAGCTACTATTGGTAGACATCCCTTTTTCAAAATGGCTATTCTTATGGGCATGGACAATTCAAAAAACACACATTAATGGAGTAATCCCTCACCAATTCCCCCTACCAAAGATTCTCTACCACTCTAGTTTGTCTTTTACTTTGGCAGATGGACACACTTCCAAACACACCATATAATTGTAGCCAAACATCAATTTATTTTTGAAGAAGGCCTTTGGTGCTCTTATGAAGCCCAAAAGCATTTTTGGAAGAAAAAATGTTAGGTTTCTATAAGTTTAAATCGTGAGAGAGAGAAAACTTACTAGGCATCCAGGAGCATACCTGCAGGTGCATTGGTGTCCATAGTCATCATGCTGCCTCTTCCAGCAAAACTATAAACACTACCTGTACTAGATTCATTCTCCTTTGTAGAGAGTGATTGTACCCTCAGGAAGCCGTTCCTTTCTAGACAATTTTCCCTAGGTAAAACAGAACCGAGAAAATCTTCTCTCTGTCTCCCTCTCCCCCTCTCCATTACACAGTCTCCTCCCTCCCTCCCTCCCCCCTCTCTTTCCTATCAAATTTCTATGATGCTTATCATAATTGTGCTTGTGGACTTTGTTGGATGATCTTGATATGAAAGAAGTTGTTAAAATGTTTTGTCCCCCTAAAAATTTGTACCAGTTTATTGTTTAAGATCTTCATATAGGATTTACCAGTAAGTAATGATTTCTTAAAATAAGGAACAAGGGACAAATTTTAGTCATGCAATTTTAAAGACTATGATTAACCCTTCATAACCTATTAATCCTCCACATTTATTTCTATATATTTCAAACATTTCTTCTCTTTTCTCCCCCCCCACAAGTTGGGGTACAGTTATAAATCAGGACCATAGGTCTTCAAAATATTGTGGCCCGAGAATAGATATCAAAGTTGCAAAATAAGCTGCTCTTTCTTCCTCCCCATTTTGCAAACTACTTTGAAAGAAAAAAAAAGTGGGGCCGTGTTGGTAACTGGGGTCAGGCATTGAGACTGAACTGGAAACCACATGTGCCTGAAACCGATGAGACAGAGACATTTCGAGCTGAGAGGAAGCAGAGCACCGCCTCTTTCTTCCCATGCTTCTCTCTCATTTCCCAGTAGCATTCTTGTCATTTGAAACTCTGCTTCCATTCAAAGGGTTTGTAGCATTTTCACTAACGCTGATGATAAGCAATGCTTCGATGCTGCTAGCAGAGCAGCTACAGAAAGACAAATAATCATCCATATGGAAAGAAAGCTGCTAACTTAGCAATGGCCCGTCACTAAGTTGGAAAGATGGAAAGGACCATCAAAACAGGTACAATTAAATCAGTGATTGCTAACTAGTCTTTAAGGGACATAGTCACATAATATTACTTTCATCTCATTCTCAGGCAAATTAGAGTTATTTTGGGAACATCTAGTGTGGAAGGGGGACATTTCTTTTTATCCTAGAACAAACTTTGCCACATGAAATCTTTGGAATACTTAGTGATGAGTCTGGGAATGATATAGCCAATGGCTGCTTCTGTCCTTCCCCCTTATTCAGTCATATTAGACACTGCACCTTTGTGTCGATCCATTGTAACTTGGTCTGACAAAGAAAATACTTACCAGCTTCCTGTGCCTTTCCTCCCCCACCCCACCATGGTAATATCAGCCACTTGAGTGATCTGTGCTACAAAACAGAGGGATGTACCCATGAAAAAACACATTCCTAAAAGAGATATTGTTGCAAAAAGGAACAACCTGCCATGATGTCAGCACAATTTTCTGCTGAGTCAAAGTTAAGAGGAAAGAAAACTGAAGCAGCAGCCAGGATGAGCCTTACGTTGTAAACTGTTCCACTAAGTAAAGCTTTTTTAGTTTTCTGGAGTCCACGTTTGGTTAACATTGAAGTATGATCACCGACTTGCCCCTGTGGATTGGTATAGATTTGCTGCCTCTGTTCACTGGATTTTGTGGAGTGCCAAGAGAGATGGCATAGTAAAATAGCCAGATTGGCCCCTCCTAGGAATAAGACCTGATCATAGGTTTGACTTGGTTGTGTGGCTTGCTGGCAATGCTCTATGTTGGCAGAAGCAGCAGGGGCCAGATGACACAGTGAAAGAAAATGCCACTGAAATATGCAGCCAAGGAGAAAGAGGCTGGCACATAAAAATTGGTATCTGTAGACTTGGCACTTCTTGGTTTTTAAAACAAATAACATATAGAGCGGTACCTTTAAGTCCTAACTTGGTACCTGTTCTCTGGTTCTTAAGTTGTATATATGTAAATCATTCAAAAGTTAAATCTAAGATGTAACATAAATGTCTGCACTGAACAATCAGTCTTGAGACAATATTGTAAGTGCTAAGAGCTGAATTTAAGTGTTGACTTATGTTGCCAAGGTCAGGATACTGCATACAAGAAAAAGCAGACTTCGGACTTGAGAATTGAAAAAAAAAACCAAATGAAACCAAAAGCAACTTTAGCCTTATCATGCAAAAAAATAAATAAAATCCTAGCACTGAGATTAATGAGATGACAAATTGTATTTCCTGCTGGCTATATGTATCTAAGACTGCTTCATTCCATTCAGGTGTCCTTCCCAGCATCCTCCATATATGGAAGTAAATTTGCAAAATTACCTATTGTCTGTAATAACTCCAGTGTGGTGTAGGGTAAATGGAACCTGTTGATGTTTAACTGTGAAGAGGAACCAATGTTAGACAGAGAGTAGTGAGGGACATATTTTGAGGTGACACAGTATGAAGGAACCGGAAGGGAGGAGTTAAGAAAAATAAAGCAGTTTGTATGCAGAGAACTCACGTTAGGAGTATTACTACAAAATACGACATGGTGTCAGAAGTTCTGTAACACGGTAACTGAACAACGAGGTCTACCCAAAAGAGGAAAATGAGCGGCAGTGGGGATGAGCAGAATGAGGAAGGAGTTAGCACACCCAGTGCTACTTTTAACATCCAACCACTGGAACCCTTTGATTTTTTTCAAACCAAATGAGTGGACAAAATGGATACGGCGATTCAAGAGATTTAGACAAGCAAGCAATCTCGCAATAAGCTCTGAAGAAAATCAGGTGAACACTTTGATTTACTGTATGGGAGACGAAGCAGATGATGTTCTGCGTGGCCTGAAACTCAGTGAAGCTGATCAGCATCAGTATACTAAAGTAAGAGACGGCTTTCAGTCATTCTTTGTAGTAAAAAAGAACATTGTGTATGAGCGTGCAAGATTTAATATGCGCATACAAGAAGCAAATGAGACAGTTGATGCATTTGTCACTGTTGTGTCCCTGACTAGCTAAGTCTTCAACCTGGTCCGCAATTTGAGCGGGACCACCGACGGTTCCCATTGGTTGGTGCCGTTTGACAGCAGACTATATAAGGGGCTGTCAAACGGCATCAACCGGCTCCAGCCAGCTGGCTGCCAGCCCAGCTGGGCAGCCACGATAACCTGTTACTCTTCAAATAAAAGAAACGTTATTCTTCAGCTCCTGTGTCTGCCTGGTGTGTCCGTCTACCAAACACAACACTGGCGACGAGGATGGGATGTCAGAAGAGACACCCAGGCAAGAAGCTGAGCTAAGTCACTGAAGATAGAGCTGAAGCCACTGAATGTTTGGAGCCGCAGACAATCTCTGCGCGCACCAAATTTAAAGAGCCTCCTCAGCTGAGGAGAAAGTCTCCCTGACTGAGGAGAAAGACGTCGCCCTCAAGGCCC